AGAATTACATTTAAAAACTGACATCCTGTCAAGTCCGAAATATGACAGGAATATGTCGCATAATAATCAATATTACAACCCCACCTAAGTAATCCCTCCTATTCAAAAATACATTTCAGAATTTTTGCCAACATTTCGTGGGATCCGTCACGCACCGTACTGCCCGTCTCACCAAATGCTAGTATATCAGAGGTTTGCCTGGAATACGTTTCGCAACATGTCGAGACACCTGCATTAAAACCGGATCTACATATATGTGGACGGCGTAAACCCGCACCTAGGCAAACCACAACACTTACTGGTCCACAACAAACGCTTAACCGGGATTTTTAAAAACCAAAAATTTGGCGACGGCTCGGATGATATGCTAATGTGGTATCAACTTAACCTGAAACATACTACTAGCTGCCTGTTGTCAGTTAATGAATATAACGCGGTTACCCGCTGTGGCTGATGGACATTGGCCACAATATTCATACATAAAATTCTCGGTTTGTGCCTATAGACATTGAATAAACTGATATACTCCAACGTCGTAGATAATTTCCAAGGACATTAAAAGTGACAGACAGTAATATACACAGGTCGTCAGTTTATGAATATCACGCGGTTACACCACTGAAGCTGTTGAGTCTCGGTCCAGATAGCCATTTATAATCTTGCGCAGATCATGTAAAGCTTCATTCCGAATGCTTTATTCTAAGTAAGCACATTTAATTTCTGAGGTGATTAACAGGCTGGTTCAGGCTTGCTCGCGCAGTTAACAGCGGATAAAGCGAACACAGGAAATGTGAATCAGTCCGGGTATTCCAAAGAAAATGCAGTGCGGTTAACTTCCAGAAGATCAAATCTAGTCAATTAATATTTGCAACAGAACAACTAAACCAAAGATCAGCCGTGCACATGTTCTGTAATTTGCCACACTGAAAACACAGGTGCTAGTTAAACGCCCAGAAGTGTGTATCCATCACATTCTGCCGTTGCGTGGCACAGCTGCAATTGATTCAGCCCGTCACTGCGTTCCCCAGTGCTCCTTGCGTGTTTTTGGTTGATGTCATAGTTTTGAAGTTCTAGTTCCTTTCCCTCTCCCCGGAAACTAACCAGCATCTTTGAAGTGCCTCGTTCGGAATGTAATTTTATTGGTTTTCCCTGAAACTTAGAGTGACTATTTGAGCCGAAACTCGGCAGTTTCAGCGGGATTACCACGTAATATTCATAAACTGCAAATAGGCAGCCAGTACTATACACAGGTCGGCAGTTTATGAATATCAAGGTGGTGTCCCGTTGAAGCTGTTGAGTCTCGGCCCAAATAACCCTTTATAATCTCGCACTCAGCATATAAAGCTTCGTTCCGAAGGTTTTATTATAAACTTGTACACTTAATTTCTGAGGTGATTAACAGGCTGAAAAACCAGTTATAGCATCAGTCTCGTTCGAAGTAAGTTGCCGAGGGGTTACGAAAAAAAACTGCCGTGGCAGAGTTAGTTTAGTTCATACATTTATTAGCCTAAATCGGGTCTAACCCTTTAAATTGTGCTACGGTGTCTGAAGTATTCGAGCCA